TTCTATCAGAGCTCAGGAGAGAACTCCAAGGAAGAAGAGACACTAAGAGTAGAAGAGCCAGAAGGAATTTGGGCCACCAGAAGAAGGCCCTCTAAATCAACTGACCAAAATTCATATGAATTCAGAGACTGAAGTAGCAGGTCCTTTGCATATATATATCCTATCTTCCAGATCAGTATTTTTTATGAGACTCCTGAGTGTGTAATCAAGTGAGCCTTTCATTTATGTGCTTGTTCTTGGGGCTCTTTCCCTTCTGTTGGATTGCCATGTCCAACCTTGATGTGATTGTTTGATTGATATCTCTTAGAAAAACATTCTTTTCTTTGGGTTCACCTTCTTATTTAGCTTCTCTAGTATCATGAATTATAGGCTCAATGACCTTTGTTTATGGCTAGAATCCATTTATGAGTGAATACATATATTTATCTTTTTGGGTCTGGGTTATCTCACTCAGTAAAGTGTTTTCTATTTCCATCCATTTGCATGCAAAATTCAAGATGTCATTCTTTTTTACCACTGAGTAAAACTCTAAAGTGTATATGTGCCACAGCTTCTTTATCCATTCTTCTATTGTGGGGCACCTAGGTTGTTTCTAGGTTCTGGCTATTACAAATAGTGCTGCTATGAACATAGTTGAATAAATGCTTTTGTAGTATGATAGGGCATCTCTTGGGTATATTCCCAAGAGTGGAATTGCTCGGTCCTGAGGTAGGATGGCTCCCAGTTTCCTGAGAAACTGCCACACTGATTTCCAAAATGGTTACACAAATTTGCATTCCCAACAACAATGGATGAGTGTTCCCCTTACTCCACATCCTCTCCAGCATAGGTTATCATTGCTGTTTTTGATTTTAGCTATTTTGACAGGTGTAAGATGGTATCTCAAAGTTGTTTTGATTTGCATTTCCCTGATCGCTAAGGAGGCTGAGCATGACCTTAAGTGTCTTTTGGCTATTTGAACTTCTTCTGTTGAGAATTCTCTGTTCATTTCAGTATCCCATTTTTTAATTGTGTTATTCAGAATTTTAATGTCTAGTTTCTTGAGTTCTTTATATATTTTGAGAAGAAACACATATTTATCCTCCTGGATACTGAACGTAGACAAGATTGCCGGGCAAACGTTGGGAGCATGGGGGTGGGGTGGGGTGGGGGAAAGGTGAGATGGGGAGAGAGAAGGGAGGAGGGGAGGACTGGGAAGAGCTTGGGGGAATGGAATGGTTGAGATGGAGAAAGGTTGGATATGGAAGCAGGGAAGAAGATATCTTAATTAAGGGAACCATTTTAGGGTTGTCAGGAGACTTGGCTCTAGAGGGGTTCCCAGGTGTCCAAGGAGATGTCCCCAGCTAGGTCTTTGGACAGCAGAGAAGAGGGTGCCTGAACTGGCCTTATCCCATAGCCACACTGATGAATATCTTGCATATCACCATAGAACCTTAATGTGGCGATGGATGGAGATAGAGACAGAGACCCACATTAGAGCACTGGACTGAGCTCCCAAGGTCCAGATAAAGAGCAGAAGGAGGGAGAACATGAGCAAGGAAGCTAGGACCACAACGGGTGCGTCCACCCACGGAGATGATGCAACTGATCTAATGGGAGCTCACCAAGGCTAGCTGGACTGGGACTGAACGAGGATGTGATCAAACCAGACTCTCTGAGTGTGGCTGACAATGAGAGCTGACTGAGAAGCCAATGATAATGACACTGGGTTTTGATTCTACTGCATGTACTGGCTTTTTGGGAGCCTAGTCTTTTTGGATGTTCACCTTCCTAGACATGGATGTAGGGGGGAGGACCTTGGACTTCCCACAGGGCAGGGCACCCTGACTTCTCTTAGAACTGGAGAGGGAGAGGGTAAAAGGAGTGGGAGGGGTGGGAGGTAAATTAGAGGAGAGGAGGAAATTTTTAATAAATAAATAAATAAAAACATTCTTTTCTAATGAGAAGGTGGATCTGGATGGGAGGGGAGGTAGGAAGGAAATGGAAGGAGAGGGAGGGGAAACTGTAGTCAGGATATGGTGTATGAGAAAAAATTAATTTTAATAAAAGGGTGTAGAAAAGGATAAAAAGGAGAGGAAAGTTGGATCTTTTAAAGCTGGATTTTTTTAAACAGCAATGATATACTGAACTGACTTTCCGATGAGTATGGATAGCATTTGTGCTCTGTTGTGTGGTTATCATGTGTTCAAATGCACAAAACTGGTACAATACAGATTATACACAATGAATAATTTATTTAAAAAACCAACATTTTTTTTAAAACTAACTTTACATCAAGTGATAGAAGCATTATTAACAGTGGAGGTCAGGGATTAGTGATCAACAGTGTGTCTGTATTAAACACATCTCATTGACATTTTTCCTTTACCATAATTTGTTTGAAAGGTACCTTGTAAATCTTGTGATACTAAGAGGTAGTGATAGTGATGGGAAACAGAGTCCAGTATACTTTTTGAAATACTAGATGAAGGAGAAAAGCAAGTCCACACAACTAGGACTGCACTCCTATAAAAGCCAATCTTCTGGAACTTCTTATGTAGACTAGGCAGGACTTGAATTCAGAGATCCATCAAGTGCTGGGCTTAAAGGTGTGTGCTGCTGTGTCCTGAAACTGGCATCTTTAAAATGGGATTAACTTGTACATATTAATTAGTTCCTCTTGCTACATTACTATAGCCAGGTGAGACAATTATTTAAAAGGATGGAATTTTATTCAACCTCTTAGTTGAATAAATAACACAATACTGTTCAACAATAAGAAAACCAAATGACACTGAATTGTAATCAGTTTATTTGTGTGCATGTGTGTGCTTGTATGGGTGCATGCCTGTGAGTGAAGGTGTCCTGGGATGTCAGATGCATCAGATCTGGCTGTGAGCTGCTGGACATGGGTCCTGGGATTAAAGTTGACTCCAATGCAACATCAACACATGATCCTTTAACAGCTGAGCCATCATAGTGTGCAACATTCCTTTATACTAGTAATAGTTACAGCACTTAAGTATACTTATAATGAGTTATGGCATGTAAAAAGCACTAAAAAATCTTATTTGGGATTGGTGCAGGGCTCAGGGGGGTAAATCTCTTGACACTGCAGCTTGCCAATGTACAAACTTTTGAAAGTTGTCTTTGACCTCTACTCTTGTACATCTGTAATAAACACAAATCTCTCTCTCTCTCTCTCTCTCTCTCTCTCTCTCTCTCTCTCTCTCACACACACACACACACACACACACACACACACACACACACATAACAAAATGCAAAAAAAACTTATTTGGAGAAAATAGACATCCCAAAATACAATCAAAGAATCTAAGTTTGAGAAAACTAGAGTGCCCACTCAAATACATGGAAGTTGCCAAGGAATTAACAATTTAAAAAGAATCCACTATGTAATGACACCCAGAAAAAATACTAACACTGATATATTTTCAATTTCATATCAAATACAACTACTCAAAAACTACCCAGTGGGCTAATGAGATGGTCCAGCAGCATGTCCATAAGCCTGAAGACCTAAATCCATCTTCAAGACTCACGTGGTAAGGAGAGTTGTCCTCTGACATGCAAACGTGCACCTCAAACACTCAATCCCAAACACATACGTGCCAACATATAACTGCAATTTTAAAAAGCATTTACTAGTAAGTATAGTCTACCAGACAATAAACACATTTCAATTCAACAAATCCAATATAGCTCTACAGTAAAGGGTAAAGCATTACCTCATGATTTAAAAACAATAATAAAAAATACTCATTAACTGACGGATTTGCAATTGACTTGGCAAAGTCCATCTCCACAATTCAGTTTATGTTCTTGCTCCTTAATGTGGTGTCTTGATGGCCTTCAAATGTGGGCTCAGCTTACTCAGCTCTTTGAGCAGCAGGGACGACAGGCATGTGCAATCATACCAAAATTATTCACTAACTTATACTTTCAATGAAAAAGAAAGTCAAAAAGTCTTGAGTAAGAATAGGCAAATGTAAACACGCATAACTTTTACTTAATTTCTTTCAGTGTTTATTTAGGAATATTTATTTACATAAACTAATTTGCTCGAGATATTTACATTTCTCACTTTTATAAGATTCAATTACATAAGAAAATCACAACATTCTTTCTTTTTCTGAGACTCATGTAGCTCAAGCTGACCTTGAAATAGCCATGTTAAAGAGCCCCACTTTCTCTTTCTTTTTTTTTTTTTTGAGTTGGGGTCTGGGTATCCCTGGCTGACCTGGACTCCAGAGAGATCTGCCTGCCTCTGCCTCCCAATTAGTGGGATTAAAGATGTGTGTCACCACACATGGGTCTCTCCTATGACAATTTAATCTATTTGGAACTGGTTTTCTTAAGTTTTCTGAATTGTATCCATGCCCTCTGTATTCAGTGTTGCAGTTTTCTACATTCTATCCCCCATTCCGAGTGCTGGAATAAAAGGCATACATTATGATGTCTGATGTAAGAGTAGGCTTTCATCCTATGTTTACTTGCACATATGGGGAAAATTATACTTATGCTAATTTTATATTATCGCCAGTATATTTTCATGTTTGTATTTAAAGGTCTATGTGTGTATTTTGCCTGTATGTATGTGTGTGCAACATTCAGAAGGCATTGGATCAACTGCAGCTGGAGTTAGATAACTGTGAGCCACCATGTGGCTGTTGTAAATTATACCCCAGTCATCTACAAGCACAGCAAGTACCCAACCACTGAGCTATCCCTCAAGCCCAGTCTTGCTGTGGGACAATGGTTTGTACCCTGTCACTTGTATTTTAAATAAAGGCTGATTGGTCAGTAGCCAGGCAGGAAGTATAGGCAGGGCAACCAGACAGGAAGTATAGGCGGGGTGAGAACAGGAGAATTTGGGGAAGAGGAAAGATTCAGTCTGCAATCGTCACCCAGACACAGAGGAAGCCAGACACAGAGCAAGCAAGATGTGACTGCCTCGTTGAAAAAGGTACCAAGCCACATGGCTAACACAGACAGTAATTATGGGCTAAAATAAATTATAAGAGTTAATAAGAAGCCTGAGCTAATAGGCAAGTCAGTTTATAATTAATGTAGACCTTTGTGTGATTCTCTGGGACCTAATGGCTGCAGGCCCTGGCAGGACAGAAACCTCAGTCAACACAGTCTCTCCATTTGTTTCTGGAGAAAGTATACACAGAAAAGCACAAAATGTAAAACTTACATAAGAAACCTCACTCACAAGAAAAACAAGACAAAGGCTGGTGGGATGGCTTAGAAGGGAAAGGAACTTGTTGCCAAGCTTGAGGATCTGAGCTCCATCCCTGGGACTCACACAATGGAAAGAGAACTGATTCCAGCAAGTTGTCTGCTGAGCTCCAGATTTACACCAGAGCAATGGTGAGTTCTCCAACACTTCATGCAAATAAACAAACAAATAAGTAAATGATAAATATTTTAAAAAGCAGGTTGATTACTGTTACACATGGTTTACACAAGTATAAGCTTTAACCACTGGGTTTCTTTTCACTGTGAGATCTTTCATGTCTTCGAAGGTATGAGAAATACACAAATTCTTTCCCACATGGATTACACTTGTAGAATTTCTCTCTAGTAGTGTGAGTTTTTTCATGTATATGGAGGGATTTGAAAAAAGTGAATGCTTGCCCACACTCCACACATACATATGGCTTCTCTTTAGTATGCGTTTTCTCATGCCTGTAACAAGCACTAGAGTGGGTGAAGGTTTTTCCACAACATTTACACGTGTAGGGTTTCTCTCCAGTGTGAATTCTTTCATGTTTTCGAAGGTATGAGGAAAACATAAATGCTTTCCCACACTCTTGGCAAACATAGGTCTTCTCTGCAGTGTGAATTCTTTCATGGTTGTAACAGTTGCCTGCACTGATGAAGGCTTTTCCACATTGTTTACATGCATAGGGTTTCTCTTTGTTGTGAATTCTTTCGTGTTTGTGAAGGTTTGAGGACCGTCTGAATGCTTTGCCACATTGACTACATGCAAAACGTTTCTCTCGAGTGTGGCGCCTTTCATGCTGGAGAAGATGGTAAGAATGAATACACGCTTTCCCACAATGTTTACATATATAACTGTGCTTTCTCTTGTGAGTTTTTTCATGATTTTGACGGGCCAGGGAATACATGAAAGTTTCACCACAATGTCTACATGAGTACGTTTTCTCTCTTGAGTGAATTCTCTGATGTCTGGTCAAGTGACTGGAATGAATGAAGGTTTCTCCACATTGCTTACATGCCAGTGATTTTTCGCCAGTATGGATCTTTTCCAATGTTTGAACACAACTTTTTTCCTTCAAGGTCTTCTCAAATTGCTTACACTCACGCAGCTCATCTCCAATGCAAGTTCTCCCATAATCTTGATGAGAACTGGGATGACTACAAGACTCATTAGATTGTCTACTTTCACAGATGTTCTCTCTAGCAGGAGCACTCTCAAGTGTTTGAAAGGACTCAGAATAAATGAAATCTTTCCTACATGCCTCATGTTTAATAGCCTTCTCCATATGTTCCTGAAACACATATGGTTTCTCTTCAGTTTGACTTTGAACGATCATATCGGAAGATGAGTGACCACTGATGTCTTTTACATTCATGTGGCTTTCATAAACTGTGACTGCAGGATGATGGTCTGCATTAACAGCGTTCTCTGGCACCTGCTGGTGGGTCTTTGCACACTCACTACTGTGTTCATAGTCACAGAATCGCTCAAGGACCTGAATTCTGGAAAAACAAAAATGGAGGTGATTATTGCTATTTTATTACTAAATAAGTAGTGGATGATGGATTTTGTGGTCTCTGCCTGTGCAGTAATCAGGAGCCAGTGGCATGAGGTGAACAAATTGAGGGCAAACTAGACCACAGAGAAAGACCCTGTTCTGAGAAGGAAAAAAATGTACTGAGTCTATTTCAATTACAATTTATAAACACAAAGAACTGAGCATTCAGCAAGGGCTGAGGAAGTATATAACCATAAAAGGTTCTGTAGTACTAGTCTGATAAACACTGTCTATGATACAGTTAACAAAGCTTATTCTTTATGCACTATAATGTGAACCAGACATTCTCAAATTTTAAATAGCTGAATATTCTTCAGGCAATTTATTGAAGATGGGTCTCAATCTAAACCCTAAACTCACCTTTTCTTCCCACATAAACCTTATAAGGTCCAATGGTAACTTGCTAAAATACATCAAATAATTTTGTAGACAACAGGTAGTTTCATATAAAGATTCACCGGAAAATGTTTCAGCTAAAGTGTGCACCGCATTTTGTTACTGCTTTCTCAAAACAGCGCAGTAATAAGTGTAGTCCAAGAAATTCCACGCAAGTACTACAGTAGACTTAAAATTATCCATTTATGAGTTCTCCAGCTCAATGAAGTTTTAACAGAAAAATTGATATTAAGTCAATTTACATATTTTGTTTGTTTGTTTTTCAAGACAGATTTTTCTCTGTGTAACAGTCCTAGATGTCTCTTGTACATCAGGTTGCCTTGAACTCACAGAGATACATCTGCCTCGGCTTCCTGAGTGTTGGGATTAAAGGCATGCACCATTACCGCGCGGCTTGCATTTTGATCTATTGGGATGGTTTCTTTATTTCTCAGATGTGCTCTCCCTCTCAAATATCTGATGCAAACTCCCTTTTCTGTAACTGTGAATTACCTCAGGTTTCTCTGGAGTTCTTGGCAGTCCACATCAATATTTTCTTCCTCTGTTTTCCGCAGAAATTAAAAGCAAGAAATCATTGTTATTCAACCTTATACACTAGCTATTACTTTCCCACATTTTCTCTAGTATAACATGACCAGGCATGCTCCATTTACCACCACATTCCCTTTCAATATCTCAAGCCATATAATTACACTGATGACTAAGAGTTTTTCTCCAAATGAATAAGAAAAGAAATTAATTACAACTGTTTTGTTGTTGTTACCTATGGAGATAAGGTTCATAAATGTTTCCATCATCACATCTCTGTAGAGCTTCCTTTGACAAGTATCCAACAGAACCCACTCTCCTAGAGTGAACTTCACAGCCACATCGTCAAAACTCACTGGCTCCTAAAAAAAGTTCACAGTATTATTAAAGTGCAGTTATTAGAAGAAAGCTTAAAAACACTGGAGATACATTAGTCACATGACTTAATACATTCATCTTATATCATGGCCAGCACAAACTTTTAATCATCCTTTCATCTTCTCACACAATTCTAAAAGTAATATATGCCTATCTAATACAGAAAATATGGATCAGAGTACTTGGCTGTGCTGCTGCTTTCAACTATTCTTTGTACCTTACACCACAAGTTCCTACAAGTGAGAACCCATAGTGAACATCAGCTCTGCTGAGCATGCACAGGTATAAGTGTCTGTTAGAAAACTTCATCTACTTCTAGGGACTGGGGATTTCACATAAATTGGTGTAAACAGCTTAACTATAGAGAAGTGCTTGAGATATGGCTCAGAGGCTAAGAGCACTGGCAGCTCTTCCAGAGGTCCTGAGTTCAATTCCGAGCAACCACATGGTGGCTCACAACCATCTGTAATGAGATCTGGTGCCCTCTTCTGGCCTGCAGACATACATGCAGGTAGAAAACTGTATTCATAATATTTTTTTAAAAAAAGAGGTGCTCACAGTTTATGCAGCAGTTTATGACAACACAAAATAGTATTTCACAAACTATTATCACTGTCATTCTCAGCATACTTGTTAAATAGTGAAACATGGTTTTTATAATATCAAAATCTGAAAGAAAATTTACATGAAAAATCTCTTATCACTGATCTCAAAGATAATAGGAAACACCGCCTGACAAGTTTTGTTACTTAGATCACTGAGCACATCTTTTTATGATGTGCTCATTATGAGCAACATCATTATGAGCAACATCATTATGAGCAACATCATTAGGAAGACTGTTTTTAAAAAAGTTTTTTATAAAAGAGTTTTAATTCAAAACAAGTAGTTTCTCATCAACAAACCTTAACTTAATACTAATACAACAAAGGTCAATTCTCTATGCTCCAATATAAGCACTGCATACTATTTCTAATAATGTCAATGGATAGTGACAGCACAGAAACAATGGCACTGTTCTTAGAAAGAGATTAATGTCACAAAACATACGCTATCATGGCTGCATCAAATTCTGTAAATCTCAAAAAACTTTTAGATTGTTAACAAGAATTGCTTATCAAAATCTGTATGTAATAATAAATGTTTGGTACCATAAATATATTAGGAATAAGAAAATGATAGTTTGATCCCGTAACATGAGGGCCAGCTTGTTGGGGTTTCTGTCCTGCCCAATACCCCACAGCCAGCAAGCCCCAAAGAAAATCACACAGAGGTCTCCATAAGATATAAACGGATTGGCCCATTAGTTCAGGCTTCCTATTAGCTCTTGTAACTTATATTAACCCATTCTCCTTATCTATGTTATCCACATGGCTTGGTACCTTTCTCAGGAGGGCAGGACACATCTTGCTTCTTCTGTGGTCTGTGCAGGCCTAGGGAGGGAGCTTCCTGCTTCCCAGAATACTCCTGTTCTCATCGTCCCACCTCTACTTCCTGTCTGGTTGACCCACCTATACTTTCTACCTGGCCAATCAGCTTTTCTTTAAAACATGATTGACAGAATACAGACAATTCTTCTGCACCACTTCCCCCTCTTTTTTTTAAACAAAGGAAAATATCCATAGTCCATTTTGGGGAAAGTGGGCATAGTATTCTAGGCTACTTCTGGCTGGTTGTGGGTGCTGATAATCTTATGGGGACCTAAAGAAAATTGAGAGTTATGATTAAGTCCTGACTGGAGTATCCTGTGAGTCTTGATCATCTCAGGCAGCAGTCTTGAACCTGTTCTGGATGTAGAACTCTGTCATCTGGGCCATCTGTTCCTACCAGAGATTTCACAGGTGGTCTTCCTTGACCAAACCTGATTTTTCTTAACTCAGAATGAATCCACAGCCTCTCATTTTCTGTGGAAACAAAATCAAAATCTCTTCTCCAAAGTAACATACCTTTTGACTTCAGTTTTGAAGCCAAGGTATTTTCAAAATACCTATCTGGGATTAATACAGCAGCATTTATAAGCAAATATCTTTTAGCAGCTGTTGCTCCTTCCTCAGCATTCAAACAATTCAAATATACAGTATCAAGGTTCTCTGTGTATTTTTCATCTTTATGTGGCTTTATTTTAACCTCTGTTTCTTTTATTTTTACTTTTAACTTTTGGCTTTTTGAGACAGGGTTTCTGTGTATTTTTGTCCTGAAACTCACTTAGTAGACCAGGCTGTCCTTGAACTCACAGAGATCTGCCCGTCTATGCCTCCCTAGCTCTGGGATTAAAGGTGTGTGCTACAACACCTTGAACTCACAGAGATCTGTCTGTCTCTGCTTCCCAGGCATTGGGATTAAAGGTGTGTGCTACCACACCTTGAAGTCACAGAGGTCAATCTACCTCTACCTTCCAAGTGTTGGAATTAATGGTGTACCACCACACCCAGCTATTCTCTTTCTTTTTTTAAGGACTTTAACTTTTTTCTCAAGTCTGTATATATTCTTAACACACTGTAAACCATTTAGAGGCTTTCTTTGTCTTTGAATCCCTCTTTACTGTGTATCTCTCTTTTTCTGACCATATGAGAATTTACCAAGCAATATCAGTACAGTAGGACTAAAGCTGTGGTTTTGACAGCTAGATCCAGCCCATTCCTTAGTTTTCTGTGATTCCAGCCTCGTGGTGGAGGTACCGGCTGTAGCCATGTTTATTGCCACAACTCTATGGTGTTTCAAGGTCTCTGCCAGCAAGCAAGCTGTAGCATTCTGCTCACAGACCACATTCAAATGCACCGTAATCAGACCACCTGCCTGAAAGAGTCAGAGTTTGTCCTGGCAGGATGGCCCAGAAAGCTGGCTTTTAAAAACAGCACAGCTTTTTTTCTACTATCACTGAAAAACGAAAAGCATGCCTTCAGCTTTTCATCAACACCATTTAAGTGTTTCATGGCAGGACCTATTAAAAGAGCTGCAAGGTTTTGCAGCTAAAGCTGAGTCAGGAAGTGTCTCTTAAATGAGAGTGCTTGCCTCTAGCGAGCAGAGCCCACCGAGAGAGTGCTGCTACCAAGAAACCATGTGTAATGCTGCTATTTTGTTCTAGAATTACTTCTCAAGCTGTCTCAGGCTTTATGTGGATGTAGTTGGTGCCATTTGTAACATGTGGGCCTGCTTGTCGGGGTTTCTGTCCTCCCACCAGGTCCCACAGCCAGCAGGCCCCAAAGAAAATCTCAGTCGGTAGAGCATGAGACACTTAATCTCAGGGTCGTGGGTTCAAGCCCCACGTTGGGTGCCAGATCTGAACATGAAGTCACAAATGAATATTACCAAACCCACAAGTAGGAGGTAGAGGGACCTTGAATTCAAAGCCTGCCTGGGCTGAATAGCAAAAACGAGAAATTGAAAAAGAGTATGATAGACTTTGGAAACCCACTACTCAGGGAACTCCACCATAAAGACAAGATGAACAGGACAAAGGAAAGGACAGTAGACTTCAGTAACATGAGATACAAACAGAAAATTCATGGACAGGAGATGAGATCTTGATCAGTATTGAACCTGTCTGCTGTATAATGTGATTACAACTTGGTATCTACTTGGAAGCATGCTCTATAATCTCTTCTATTCCATGGACAACAATCAAGTTTCATACAAAACGGGGAAGATGAAAATAGAGCTGTGTGGCACATGAAGCAATTTCTGAGTAATTATAAATAGTGAGGCTAACACAAGCAGAAAGGACAATGAAATCCACTCTGCATATAGCCAGCTTCACGTCACCCTTATCTCACAGTTACATTTTGTCTAAACATTTTTTTTATCACATTCACTCTCTATTTAGTTCCACCTTCTACCCTAATTGTTACCTTTTGCTTTTTGCCTGCTATTCTGAAGTCTTTTCTTCTCTTTCAGATTTCATCCATGGAATAAAACATACCCCATAAATTCTTTCTGCTTCTAGGTTAGTATGTTTATAGTACAATCTTGAGTTCAATCTATTTTAGTATAATCTATGTTACTTCTTTATGGCTGCACAATTCAACCCAGATTGAGTATATGCACACATACATAGTAATATTCACACAGATAGCTATGTGTTAAACACACAGACTAGAATTTAACAAACCATGGACTGATGTTTGGCTAGGCTGACTATACAATACTGCTACTCTGTCACTAGATGTGTGTGCAGGTGGGAGAAGAAACAGTGCAGTGGAGTTCAGACAAAAGCCAGCAACCAAGACAAAGACAAATCAAGCTGTAACTGAGTGTGAAGCTTCCTCATTGCTGCTGACTTTCTTCATGAGGAAGGGCCTTAAGCAGGCTACGGGGGGACAAAAGTCAGCAAGTCAAAAGTTAGGGAGGTAACCAACCACTTTCTGATTGAATTTGAGGCCAATCCCACAGGAGATGATAATGCATGTTAGGGCTGCCTTGCGGCTGGCAGCTGTTTCCTTTCTAAGACGGGCAGGTATCATTCTCTGATGCACCTGCCTAGAGATTTCTTGTTGAGATACATTTTCCTTTATTAATTATTTGGTACACTGCACTTGTACTTTTCAGTATTCTCGGGGAACTTAGCTTGATTTTTGTATCACTATTAACATTTTAAAAACTCCTTTGAGTAAGTACCTTCACATCATCTTTGATGACAAACCTTGTAAGTTTGGTTGCCCATAACAGATGTTTTGAAGGCATAGTTTCTTCATTTTCATTTCCTTCATTTTTCTGGATACCAACCTTGTTTAACAGAATTTGAAATACATATTCCCCTTGGTGTAGCCTATGGGTGACACTATTGTCTGACCTTCTATTTGATACATTTGAGTGTTTCATTTTCAAAATTTCTGTAATTCCTGAAGGATCTTTATCTTGGCCCAGGGAAGTGGTTTTCCTTGAACCCACATAGTGAAAGAATACAACTCATTCCTGAGTGTTGTATTTTGAATTTCTCACACCGTGTACATGTATGAGTATATTCACATGTACATACAGAGATAGA